AGTTTTAAGCCACCGGGTCTAGGACGCGAACCACGGTCGACTATGTGGGAGTCCAGCGACATAGCCATTACGCTAACTGCTGGTTCCCAAGATTTGTTTACTTTTAAAGAAACACCACCAAAATGGAATCAGCTTGGTCCATCTCCTCCTCAGTCTCCTGCTTCCCGCCACCCTCCAAATGCTATCCCTATCACGTTGGAGGCGGAGGTGGGGCAGCTACTCTGAGAGCACAGTCATTGTCGGTGGGTCATACTGTGCGGCCATGCTCCTTCTGTCAGTGCCGGGCTGGGCAGCTGCCGTCGAGGACTTTGGGACAGCCAGACAGGAGCAGAGTTGCTAAGAGGAGGACCCATCTTTGCAGAGGCATCGACAACTGAGGCTATGGAGCCAAGGGGAAGGTGGACTGGGCAGGGTCCTCAGTCTCCTCATGCACCACCCTTTGCCTTCCACATAGCTGTTTCCCAGCAGCCCTGATCCTGTTTGCTGCTGCTTTTTCCAAGGGGGACTAGAATTTCCTGAAGTGTGAGATGAGACACCTCCATTGAAGGATGGAGATGACCATGGCTGCCCCATTCTCCAGGACAGGGGTGAGAGGGTGTTTTTTTTTTTTTAATCCTCCTTGGAGAGGAAACAGCCCACTCCTGGGAAAAGGGGTGGGATCCAGGAGTCAGCCCTCAATCTCCAGCTCAGAGTTCTGAGACACAGGCTCTCCTCCCCCCAAGGCCAGCTCCTCAGGCTTTCTCTAGCACGTTCAGCGTCTGTGCTGGAGGAAACCAGAGGCTCTTTGGCAGTGAAGATGGTGACACGGAGTCCTTAGTTTTGCTGCTAGGGGAGTAGATTTTGTCTTGAGAACTCTACCAATGGATGATGATAACCAAGCATCTTGACCACCCTGGGAGCTGAGAGCTTATCTCAGTGTTTCCACTTCCCATGAAACTCAGCAAGTCCAGTGTCTTCGCAGCAGCCCACACATCCAAACCTCTCTACATTGGAATCAGACAAACTGGACTTTTCTCCTCCTGGCAAGATCACATGAAAACCAGGGGACCTCAGATTTATAATCAGGAAGACCTCGAACACCCACACGGTAACAGACAGGACCCTCTGTCATTGCCAGCATGTTTGAACATGACCACAATCTTGGAATCCACCGGGGCAGGTGAGTTGTTGCCTGAACTGCAGAGACAATCCAGGTGTTCCCAGGTGCTCTTTCAGGTATCCATCCTCAGCTCATGACCTCTCCCTTTACATGTTTTCCCTGGATATGTCATTGCTCTCATTGTTTCAACTACCTATCCACATAATGCCCAGGTCTTCGGTCTTCCATCAACATCACTTTTTATTCAACTGTTTCTGTAACATCTTACTGCATAGGAAAATCAAATAGCATGCTTTTAAACCAAAACAACCTTTTCTCATTTTTTTTTAAAAGTTCTCTTATGTTACCTTAGATACAGTCCCATTAGACTGGTCCCAAATGGCCTCCTACTTGAGTTTCCCCTGCTCTGCCTTGACTCCTACTGTTCACCCTCTCCACAGACCCTGCTAACTGCACACGTGTTTCTCTAAGCATAGCCCATGGGACAATGGTCTTGGTGCAAGAACACCAGAAATTTTCATCAACAGTTCAGACTGATGGGTGCTGTGAGGAGAATCAGTCTGAGGGTGAGCCCAGGGGACATGCACTTCTAACAAGACACTCATCTGATCCTTAAGCACGTGAAGTTAGAAAGCTCCGTCCTTTTAGGACCAAGTTCAACGTTCTCCACATGCCCGAAAGGAAGACTTTGTATATGGCTGAAAAACACATTAAGCTGGGAGTAACTTTGAGAATTTACTTAATCACACCTCCATTATTTCAAGTGCTTTACAAATTCTGGTGAAAATGTCATTGGGTGTGACTCTCAGTTGTCCTGAAATTGTTACCTCTGGTGAGTCCCGAAACTCCAAGTAATTCTGTGCACAGTCTTGCACGTGCAGCTGCAAAGCCCACACAGTTATCTTGACCTGCTGATGTGGAGGGGCTTCGAGGACCCAAGTACAGATAGAAAATGAGACATCTGGGTCTGATGAATTGGGTGTTGAAATATTTTGTCTGGTCCAAGTTGCATTGTACGTTCCTCCACAAGGCACTGAAGGGGGAAGAAAGAAACTACGTGCAAGGTCTGACTCACATTTCATCAAACACCGCCTTTAAAAGTCTGCTTTCCCAGTCCTCCCAGCCCAAGGGTCTATACTTCCATTGTTCCATTAAGGATATGGGGGTATATTTACTCTTGACTGAGGACTGTGCTCATAGTAAATTTGTACCATGAATTCAACACAGAATATTATCATGGTGTTAAGTAACGGACATTGAGTTTAGATAATACCTACCATCATGTTTTAGTAATTAACATGGAGCTTAAATACCAGAAGTGTGATTTTTTTTAAATTACATACATACAGATATACTTCATAATAGATTAAAAAATCTCGAATGTACTCACTGTCCATGATGGTATATGTAGCATTAAATCCTTCCCTTTCTACAGTTACGTCACTGACAAACTGCACTGTGAGGAAGTTGCCAGAGGAGGTGAAAGGAGCAGGAACAGTGGAGCCACAGAATGTTCCAGCCAAGCGGCCATTCGCATTATCCCCGTCAAATATCTGAAAATTCAAAGTAGTTCATTCGTTCTCTATTACTCACAAAGACGATGCATATTTTAAATTGGATGTGAAGTCACTACAGGTTATGATTAAGAATGTTTACATTGATGTTCTTAGAGTTAGTCTTAATTTAGAAACAGGATTGTGATTGAATTGTTTATATAATAATGATTTCTAGTAAAAATCTGGTATGACATTTTTCTGTTTCTGGAAAACTAACATATGGTTGAAAAAGAACGAGTCCCTGAGTCAGCCAACTCATGGCTTCTTGACCCAGTCCCCATCATGCTGGTCCAAGCCACTCTCATCTCTTGCCTGGATTATTGTGGAAGCCCCCGTGTGCAGCTCCCTGATTCGGCTCTGGTCCCACTCTAGTCTGTTCTCACATGTCAGCCAGCAGACCCTGTGATTGGGGCCAGATGGAGATTCAGTACTAGTACAGCTGGACCCACATGGGAAAGGTCCCGGGTTCACATCCTGGGGCCTCCCCGAGCATGCCAGGCCTCAGACATGCTGGCCAGCTGAGACCGGGATGGATTGCAGTGTGAAGACCTTATTAGAGGTGCCTGCCCAGCCCCCCACCCCTTGCCTTTCTCCCTCAGAAGTAATAAATAAATAAATAAAGTTAAAAAAATAAAAAGTAAGTCAGACCAGGTTGCTACTCTGCTAAGAACCTCCAAACTGCTTCCCATCCACTCAATGTAAAAGCCCGGGCCACAGGGCAGCCTTCAAATCCCATTAGGATTCTGCTCCCCTCTTACTGCTGACCTTCCTGACAGAACTTCTCATCTCCACTTTTCTCCTCTGCTCGCTCAGCAAACCAGTGCTCTCCTGCTTCTCGGCAATTGCATTTGCTGTTCCCTTAGCCCAGAACCCTCTTCCCCTGTATAGCTACGTAGTTGGTTCTCCTACGTTGCTTCAGGGCTACTCAGTTATCGCCAGCTCGGTAAGGCCCTCCTTGTGCACACTCCCCCAGCATTCCGTCTCCTTTCCTGCCAGACTTTTCTTCAGAGCAGGCATCACCTTCCACATACTGTTTCTTTCACTGTCTTGCCCTGTGAAGGAAAAGTCAGTTCCAGGAAAGCAGAGTTCTATCGTTTTGTTCACTGCAGTGTCCCCAGGTTTTTAGAAGAATGTCTGGCACATAGGAGGCACTCAGTATCTAATGAACGAGAAAATTCTCTCTCCCACTCCCCATCCCCCCAAACTGCTCTCCCCAAGTCGTCTTCATCTCTGTAAACGGCTCAGGCCTACAGCCGCAGTCATCCTTGGTGCTCCTCTTCTGTCTCTTCAGTACTCCCACATCTGCTCTATTCTACCCTCCAAATAAATCCCAGAGGGCTCCATCTCCGTTCTGACCCCCCGTACCTTTCACCTTTACCATTTGCTATAAATTGAATATATCACTCCAAAATTCTTATGTTGGATCATCATAATGAGATTATGAGGGCAAAAACTTAATCTGATTATGTGATGAAAGAGGTTAGGATCAAGGTTATTAGGGTGGCCCTCCTGGCTGATTCCTGGTGGGTTTATGAAGACAGAGACTAGGACAGACAGACAGACACGTGGAATGCAGACCAGGCTCTCCTGCCCTACACCATGTTGTGATACAGTCAGAAGACCCCATCAGATCTGGACACCGGACCGCCAAACCATGAACTGAATAAATATTTTTATAAATCACCCAGTTTCGGATATTGACTGCTATTAATATTAGTTACAAAATGGAACACTGCAACATCTTGACGGATCTAATTCCACAGAGCAGGCTCAGTATTCTACACTTGTAGTCAAGATACAAGAAGGAACCAATGTATTATAACTCCTTTTGAAAAAAAAAGAGTTGTTTTTGTTTGTTTTGTTTTGTTTGTTTTGCCTTAGGGCATGTATGCTCACCAGAGAGACAGAGAAAGAGAAAGTGAGAAATCACTCCCTGAGGGGATAGCCATACTATAATCCCTTCTCCTTCATTCTCCTCTTGGGATCTTGGGCATGCATGCACACGCACCCAGCATGATTTTCAAACCATCAGGTCTGGGTCTAGAACCACAGTCAGCCATGTGGGAGTGCAGCAACATAACTGCTATGCCATATGCTGGCCCCTATAACTCCATATTAAACAGGACATAATAGACTGGCTCTTCAAAATGGCTTGCTTCTCTTTTGCTAACTGACCTACCTTACTTCACTGTTTAACTTGTAACAGAAAAGCCTAATCATAGCTTTGTCCAGGTTTCTGGGCTCTGAGGCTCCACCAAAGAGTAGATGTATCTAAGAAAACTGAGGACAGGAACACGCTAGCCTTTAGGGCGAGATGATCATAATTGTGAATAGTAACTTTGGTGCCAACAAGTCTCCATGTGACCAAGAAAAAATGACTGCTGTGCAGAAGAACACGTAACTCCCCCTTTACACTCCTTATCCTCTCTCTCCTTAAAATCCCTTGTCCGGGTCTGTGACTTCACAGATGGCCCATGAACATAGGTTCACCATCTTCCTAGGTGATCGGTTTCCTGGATAAAGCTACCTCCCCTTCCCACTAACGCAGCTCACTCTAGTCATGGCCTTCTAGCACAGGCCGCTGAACTTGGGTTTGGTCACCAGGCAGGACCTGCAGTTGGTCTGGTTATGTACTGAGCTGCCCCAGTGCCCGCTGTGGTTAAGTCAGAGTATTCTCTTCTCCCTGAAATGCACCAGTGGGTTTCCCACGGTACCTGTGGTCAAGCTGCCACGCTTTATCTGTCTGTAAGCCTGGCCTGGTCTACCCCTGCTCTCAGATCCCTCAGCTCCCTGCTTTCATGACTCCTCAGCCTAGAAGGATTCCCTGTGACAGCCTCAGCACATGCAGCCTCTCAGCTCCTGTTGGTGACGACTCCCTGTCATGGGACCTCAACTCAAATGTCAGCTCTTCAGAGAGGCCACCTTCGTTTACCACTGCCCTCGGATGTCAACCTTTTGTTTTCTTATTATAATAAAAAAATGTTTTTTTCTATTACTTTTTTGCTTTTTCTGGTCTCTCTCCCAACAAGAAAGTAAGTCCCACAGGTGGGGAGACTGATTTATTCACTATGGTGCCAGCAGCACTCTGAATAATCTAAGCTATCACAGCCTTCTGCACACACCTGTTGAAACAGTGTGTATGTGTGGGGTTTGGAACCAGCAAGTGGTGTGGTGGTTAAGGCGCTGGCCTCCCACATGGCTGACTGCAGTTGGAGCCCCAGACCTGGCAGCTTGCTTCGTCGCTTTCTCTCTCTTTCTCTCTCACTGATGAGTGCACATGTCCTATGACAAGTTAAAAAATAATAAGTAAAATTAAATAAATCATTCTTTAAAAAAAAAAAAGAAATAGTGGGGTTTTGAATTTCTCTTGAATACACCACTAGAAAATGAAGGGTTTTTTTTTTCCCCTGAGTAATTCACATTGTATCTCTAAAATCAGTCTCTGTGTTTGTGTAACTAACATTGAGTTCAAACAGATCTATGGTGTGCCAGAGTGAGCAAAACAGCCATGACCATTAACATTATTTTAAAATGCTAGGATTACATAAGAGAAATGGCTGAAAACAACAATTTTAAAAGAAAAATAAACTTGCCACTAGATGGCACTGTCTCTCCTACTTAAACACAGGTTGAGTCCATTTTTGAGACGGAGCAGACTCGAGGGTTCTGCGATCTAACCAGCTCATTTTACAGACGAGTACATGTGCCAGATGGGAGGTGATCTCCTTTTAGTGGGAAACAAGTTAGAATTTATTACCACCATCGCTGTCTTTATGATCGCACTCACATTAAGAAGTGTTTTTATTCTGTGTACGATGGGTCAGGCCTCCATGCTAGGTCCTCAACGCCTCTAAACGAAGGGAGGGATAAAGAACGTTCTTTCTTTCTTTTCTTTTTATTTAATTGAGGCTTTTTGCTATAGGGTGTGTATGCTTGCTGAAGAGACAGAGAGAGACAGAAAGTGAGAAATCACACCTCCCTCCCATGGGCAATGGCCATGCTGCAATCCCTTCTCCTCCATTCTCCTTCTGGGATCTCGGGTACACACGTACACACACACCTGGCATGAGTTTGAAACTACTGGGTCTAGGACGTGAACCCTGGTCAGCCATGTGGGAGGCCAGCAATGTAACTGCTACACCACCTGCTGGTCCCCGGGAGAAAGCACTTTCTATACCGCCCATGTACTCATGGACTAGTGAGAGAAAAGCTCAATGGAACATATGTATCCCTATATTTGTGCACATACATGCGCATGTGTGAATTCCATATAAAATAGGAAAAGCCATGCTACAATTAAAGAATGGGAGTATATCAGGGAAACCCAGAAGGGAGATGTAGTCAGGAAACACCTAATACTGATATTTGAATTGGTCTTTATAAGCTGAGACTTTCCAGACCTACAGAAGAGAAAGGACCTCTCACCCAACAAGAAAGTTCTCGGGGCCAGCAGATGGCATAGTGGTTATGTCATTGGACTCCCATATGACCAACTGGAGTTCGAGTCCTGAACCTGGTGGCTTGAAAATCACACCAGGCACATGTGCATGCATGTCTCAAATCCTGGGAGGAGAATGGAGGAGAAGTGACTGCAGCATGGTCCTCCCCCCTGAGAGGTGATTTATCAGACAGAACCCGAGGTAGAAGGCCATGGAAATGAGAAATGCATGCCACACGTCCACAACTCGTCATCCTGTGATGGGCTGGAGTCAGGGTTTGAGGCTAGGAGAAGCTGGGCAGCTCAGCTGACAAGACCGTGCATTCCACATATGTCACGCCAAGGAGTCTGGATCTCACCCTATGGAGCTACGAGCCCTAATTTTGGTTTCATGTAGATAACCGGTGAGTGTGAAGGGAGCCACAAGGGAGAGACCAAGGCTGGAGAGAAGCAGATGGCATGCATGCCCTGGCCCAGGCTGCTGTTGCATTAGTTCATTCACAGCCACAGGAAGATTTCTTCTAATTGTATTGAGACAGACATCTTGTGGCCTCTGAAC